CTGATAACCCTTTTATCTGCATTATTGGTGTCTTTCTGCCTTCACTGAGAGTGCTTTATAGGTTCCAAGACTTCTGTTGGTTTTCTTTCTCTAAAGCTTTGCTGACGTTTACTACTTAAGTGAACATTTTATTTTGTCTCCAAAAAGACTAGGACAGAAAGGAAGACTGAGTCACTTTGTTATTGAGATTTTCCCCCATTCCTAGGATCATTACATAACACCTGTGTCAGACGACTGCTCTTAAGAACGTGGTGTGGCCGGGCGCGGTGGCTCAAGCCTGTAATCCCAGCACTTTGGGAGGCCGAGGCGAGTGGGTCACTAGGTCAAGAGATCGAGACCATTCTGGTCAACATGGTGAAACCCCGTCTCTACTAAAAATACAAAAAATTAGCTGGGCATGGTGGCGCGTGTCTGTAATCCCAGCTACTCAGGAGGCTGAGGCAGGAGAATTGACTGAACCCAGGAGGTGGAAGTTGCGGTGAGCCAAGATCGTGCCATTGCACTCCAGCCTGGGTAACAAGAGCGAAACTCCGTCTCAAAAAAAAAAAAAAAAAAAAAAAAGAACGTGGTGTGTATACCTCTCAGTTTCTGACTCTACTCCTAGATACATTTTACATTCAGCAGCATCTAGCATTTTGGCTTGTCATGGAATGTTCTCCAACTGCACTTTCAATTATGGTGTACATTAGTTGATTCCTAACCAGAAATGCACATCGGAGTGACTAGTGGTGCGTTTTTAAAACCCACATGCCTGGACACTCTTCTGACAGTAATCAAATCAGAATCGATGATACCGGGGTGTCAGGGCTCCAGAATGAGCATTCTTAGTTTTATTTTGTTTTCAGGATGTTCTCAAATAGAATTTCACTGGTAGCATTCTCAACTGATTCTCAACATAGAGTTTTTAAGGAAATTTTAATTTATCCTTTTTCACAAGATAGCAATGGATTAAATTTGTAAATTCATTTCTGACAGACTTGTAAGCAAGGAAGAAAGATTTTGAATGCACAAAATAGAATTTCCAAAGTTCTGAAAACATGTTTCATTGTATACCATATCTGTTGTATGTTGATTTCATTCAACAAATCTTTATTGAGTACCTGCTTATGTGCTAGGTGCTGGTCTTAAGAATTGAGGGAATGGGCTGGGCGGTGTGGCTCACACCTGTAATCTCAGCACTTTGGGAGGCTGAGGCTGGCGGATCACAAGGTCAGGAGATTGAGACCATTCTGGCTAACACAGTGAAACACCATCTCTACTGAAAATATAAAAAATTAGCCAGGCATGGTGGCACGTGCCTGTAGTTCCAGCTACTTGGGAGGCTGAGGCAGAAGAATCACTTGAACCTGGGAGGTGGAGGTTGGAGTGAGCCAAGATGGTGCCACTGCACTCTAGCCTGGGCAACAGAGCAAGAGTCTATCTAAAAAACAACAACAACAACAACAAAAGAATTGAGGGGATGACTGCTGGGTATACACCCTAAAGAAAGGAAATTAGTATATCAAAGAGATATCTGCAGTCTGATGTCTGTTGCGGCACCTGTCATAATAGCCACATTTGGAAGCAACCTAATTGCCCATCAACAGATGAATGGATAAAGAAAATGTACTTATACACAATGGAGTACTATTCAGCTATAGAAAAGAATGAGATCCTGTCATTTGCAACAGCATAGATGGAACTGGAGATCATTATGTTAAGTGAAATAAGCCAGGCACAGAAAGACAAACATCACATGTTCTCATTTATTTGTGGGATCTAAAAATCAAAACAATTGTACCCATGGAGATAGAGAGTAGAAGGATGGTTGCCAGACGCTGGGAAGGGTAGTGGGGTGGGGCTGGTGGGGAGGTGAGGATTGTTAATGGATTCAAAAAAGTAGAAAGAATGAATTTGATAGCACAACAGGGTGACTATAGTCAGTAATAACTTAATTGTACATTTTAAAATAATCTTAAAATAGTGTAATCGGGTTGTTTGAACTCAAAGAATAAATGCTTGAGGGGATGGATATCCCATTCTCCATGATGTGATTATTACACATTGTATGCCTGTATCAAAACATCTCATGTACCCTCTAAATATATATACCTACTATGTACCCACAAAACTTAAAAATTAAAAAAAGTAATTGAAAAAGAAAAGTAATTGAGGGGTCAGGTTCCTATTTTGTCTGTTACCTTCTAGAGCTTATGTTCTAGGTCCATTCATTTGGATTTTATTGCCTGGACATAACAATAGCAATCACCTACATGGTCCACCTCTGTTCTCAGTGCTTCCCGTATTTTGATTTATTTAATCCTTACAACAACTCTGTGAAGCAGGAACTATCATAATCCTTATTTTGTAGATGAGGAAACTGAGGTAGAGAGGTTAAATAATATGCCCAAGCCACACATCCATTAAATAGTAGAGTGGAATTTAAAGCCAGGCAGTCTGACTCCAGAGTCACTACACTCCCCACCCCTTTCTGTCACCTCTGAGATATATTAGCAAATACACAGTCTGCTTTAAGCCAGGCAGCAGCCAGAAACTATTCAGTTTCAAAAGTTCTCATAATATCCTGCTAGTCCCCTTGATTCGAAGATACAATTCCTTATATCCTAATTTGGAGATTTGTGCCATTTTCCCCATCATCTCAAGAAATGTTGGCCGACTCTATTATTGAATTTACGGTCACCTATTATAATGAAGGAAACAGAAAAGAAATTTTGGGCTATAGGAGGAAAAGATCAGTGTCAAAGTCAGAGGTCGCAGGAGACTTAGTAGTCTCTGAAGCAGCTTCCTGATGCTTCTGTTTTCTTTCTTTCTTTTTTTTTTTCTTTTGAGATGGAGTCTGTCTCTGTTGCCCAGGATGGAGTGTAATGGCTTGATCTCGGCTCACTGCAACCTCCGTCTCCCGGTTTCAAGCAATTATTCTGCCTCAGCCTCCCAAGTAGCTGGGACTACAGGCATGCACCACCACACTCAGCTAATTTTTGTATTTTTAGTAGAGATGGGGTTTCGCCATGTTGGGCAGGCTGGTCTCAAACTCCTGACCTCAAGTTATCTGCCTACCTGCTTCAGCCTCCCAAAGTGCTGGGATTACAGGTGTGAGCCACCATGACTGCCTTCCTGATGCTTCTATGTTTTCTTTCCTTTTTCTTTTTTTTTTTTTTTGAGATGGAGTGTCACTCTGTTGCCCAGGCTGGAGTGCAGTGACATGATCTTGGCTCACTGCAACTTCCACCTCCTGGGTTCAATCGATTCTCCTGCCTCAGCCTCCTGAGTAGCTGGGATTACAGGAGGTACATGCCACCATGCCCAGCTAATTTTTGTATTTTTAGTAGAGATGGGGTTTCACCATGTTCATCAGATTGGTCTCGAACTCCTGACCTCATGATCTGCCTGCCTCGGCCTCCCAAAGTACTGGGATTACAGGCGTGAGCCACCATGCCCGGCCTGCTTCTATGTTTTCTAACTGTTTATTATTGTGCTTTATTTCCCATTTTTCTTTTAATGTTTATGAAGCAATTGTTTTAGTTTAGGCTATCCTGAATGACCCCTGTCAGTGGTATGCTGGCTTTCTCTCAAAGGAACTCCCTGTCCCCACCATTCCCCTTTTTTCTAAAATATATACCTTAAATATTCACTATCATTCATATCATCACCAGGGAGCCCAGTCTGTATGGACAGACTTGCAACCAGAAGTTCAGCTGGGATCATTGATCGTACAGAGTTATGAGAATACAACCCACTGTGTTTCCTTGATCTAAATCAAAAGCTCAAACAAGACACAAAGAAAGCATTTATTTGGTTTTTCTTGGTTGAAACATCCTGTTCCAGCCTCATGATGTCTTTGAAAGTCTGATAATTCCCTTCCTGTTGAACTGAGCATGATTCCCGATTCTGTTGGAATTTGAGGATGACTTCTAGCACTCATATCTTCTCACCCCTTGGCTGTGTATCTGGGGTCTGCATTTTGAGGGCTGGTGCTGTAGGAAGAGTTTCTGGCCTGCTCAGATTGCTCCAGTGCTGGAACCCACTTGGTCCCTGGACCATCCTGCTTCTCCACATGCTCCAATGGGGCATTCTTGAGAGGTGTTTGGTGATGAATCTGACTCCTATTCACCTGACACTGCAGTCACTAGGCAGCTCTCTGATCACCGTATCCATTGTCGCATTGGTCGTGCCCAGGGTTCTGCGCTTAGCTGCAGTGCCTCAGCTACACAGCCATGTTTAGGCAGCTCCCAGATGATTCTCATCCACACACTCCTGGTTAAGAGCCATTGGCATAGATGTGCTATCATTTAATCCACCAATTCTTCTATTCTTGATGCTCAGCTTGCTTCCAATTGTTTGCTATTAAATAAAGCAGCAGTACACATCTTTGTGGTTAAATCTTTGTCCTCATTTCTATTTTCTGGTATAAATTCTGAGAATTCAAATTATAGGATCATAAGACAGGTACATTTTTAAGGTGGGGTACATTTTGAATGTGGTCAGTACTATGTGAAAATCTGGAGGTGGCTGGTGGAGTGGAGAAAGCATTGGGCCAGGTGTGAGGAGGTTGGGCTCAAGAACTGGCTCTGCTGCCTGGCAGGGCAGGGCTTTGGGCAAGTCCTTTCCGTGCCCCCAGTTTTGTTTTCTTCCTTTGCAAATGAGCCTCGTTACAAATCTGCACTGAGCGATGGTGTAGACATAACCATCTCTTGGTCCCACAGGCAGACGTATATAAGGAGGGTAGATTTGCTGGATTCCGTGGTGGACTTGTGTAGCATCTGGCTTCCTTTTATGTAATGGTGTTGACTTACTTGAGAATTGCTTCAGGGTTTAAAAGAAGCTATCTCCATCCTCTACTAGAAAAGAGGAAAATCTAGATGACTATGTGGAGTCTATTAGTTTGTTTTTATGCCTCTAATAGACAGATAGCGATCCAAGCACCTTCGTCCACAAAGTGTTATGGATGTGCTTGCAAAACTACTTACTCTAATATTAATGTCACTCTTGTATCTTTACAGGGAAACTTTATGGTGGTGTTCCTTTTATAGAAGAGAGACACAGACATCGGTACGAGGTACGGCTTTCATGCTGAATTACTGGGGAATATAGATGCTTAGTGTGAGGAACCCAGTGATTATAAGCTGAACCTCTGGGAAAGGTGTCCGGCCTGGTGGTATTCACAGGCTCAGAAAGGGCCAAATTTCCCGCAGTCTCCCACTTCCGGAGGAGGTGGAGAGACTCTCATCTTTTTGGCTTTCCAAAGGCAAAAATCTTTACGTACCTGCACACAGGGCCTATCAATGTCCTTTGTTACTCTTAACTGCCATTTTCTAGATCATGATAAGGTCATCATTTCTTATCCTTAGCCCCTACCCTTTATTTTGCCAGGTTTGGGGAAAAGAGGGCTTAAATCTTCTGAGATGGAACCAGGTGCCTTTTGGGTTGGGGGTGCATCCCTGGGTATCACAAGGCAGATTCCTGGTTTGAGAACCTCTTTGGAAATTTACATGGAGCTTGAGGCTTAGTGTCACATGACTAAAATGAGTTAATTGTTGAGGTTGCCACATGAAAGCATAGGTTTCCAGAAATGTAGATCGTATATGTCAGGATTAATGAGTGTGTCAATTATGATGCATTTGACTGTGAAGAACAGAAATCCCTGCTTGTTATCACTCAAACCAGCCTAAACATTAAGGAAATTTGTTGTCTCAGGCACCAGGTAGTCCAGAGGCTGGGCAGGCTCCAGGCATGGTACAACCAGGGCTCCTTTTGGTCTCTGTAGTTATCTCAGCCCTACCCTTGTTTGTGTGTCTGCTTTGTCCTTTAGCTGGTCTCCCTCACAGTTCCCATGTGGCTGCCAGCAGCATCTGGGGCAACAGGTATCTCTCCCAAATAGGGAAATCAACTTAGATTACCTGCCCACCTGTGAATTAGTAGACATTTTTCAGGGCAATGCTGAACATCAGTGGGCTTAAACCTGGGTTCCTGAAATGTTCATCTTTCAAGAGGGATGGGTTTATTATGTTTGGCTTAGACCAGCCAGAACCAGTTTCTGGCATGGAACAGATGGAGTTTCCTGGTTCATATAGGGGTGGAGCGGATATCAGGACAAGCCTAGGGCTCTGTTTTGAAGGAGAACTCATGGGAATCAATGCTGAATAGGTAATGAACAGTGTCACTGTGACCAAGGAACATAATTTGCTAGGTGTAGGCCATTTTCGGTCTTATTTCCATTGGGAATGGCCCCAACTGGTGGGATAAAAATTATTGAGCTGCTTTGCCTCAGTGGTAATGACAAGGTGCAAGAACTACTATGTACAGAACAGCGTGGCCATTCATGCATTCATACCTATTTTGCATCTGGTATGCATTGGAGATGGAAAGGGAAAAGACAGACATGGTCTCCTTTCTTGTTAGGGAGCTTATATTCTAATGGAGAGGACAAAAAATAAAATAACATAATAATTACAGATTAAATAATGTATTGGATAAGTGACTTATATCTAAAATATGTGAAGAGCTCTTATAACTCAATAACAAATAATGGCAAATGATATAGATATTTCTTCAAAGAAGATATACGCATAACTAATAAGCACCTGAAAAGATGCCCAACAATCATTTGTCATCAGGGAAATACGTATTGAAACCACAAAGAGATACCACTTCACGCACACTAAGCTGGCTATAATCGAACACAGATAATAATAACAAGTGATGGAGAGGATGTGGGGTAACTGGAACCTTCATGCACTGCTGGTTGGAACGGAATGTATCACAGCCCCTTTGGAAAACCATATGGAAGTTTCTCAAAAGGTTAGACATAAGAATTGCCATGTGACCCAGAAGTTCCACTCCTAGATATATACCCAAGAGAAACAAAAATGTATGTCCACACAAAAACTTGTACCCGATTATGGATAGCATCAATATCCATAATGGCCAAAAGATCAGAAACAACAACTGGTGAATAGATAAGCAACATGTGGCCTATTCATACAATGGAGTATTATTCAGCCATAGAAGGAAATGAAGTACTGATTTAAGCTACAACATAGATAAACCTTGAAAACATCATGCTGCGTGAAAGAAGCCAGACACAAAAGCCCACATATTGCATGATTCTATTAATATAAAATGACCAGCATAGACAGATCTATAGATGTGGGATATAGATTAGTGATTGCCAAGAGATCAGGTCAGGGTGATGGCGGGGGGAGGGGGGAGGTTGAAGGAGGAGGTTAAAGGATAGAGGGTTTGTTTTTCAGTTGATTGTGGTAATGGTTGCACACATCTGAATATATGAAAAATCATTTGTGTATTTTAAATGGATGAATCGTATGGTATGTGAATTATGTCTTAAAGCTGTTGAGGAAGGAAACATCATTACAGATTATGAGAACTGGTATAATTAAAATGTAGAATAAAAGCTCTGAGGTTAAGATTGCAAAGAATAGGTGAGACCTCACCTTAATTTTAGACAGGGAAGCAATATCACTGAAGGAGAGGCTGAAAAGGAAGCCTTAAGTTTGGGACAGGGCTAAGATGAGATGAGGGCCAGAAGGGGCCACAAGCCAGGTTGTCAAGTTGCCAACTACTATGATATTTTAGTAGAAAACTTGCTGCAATCTTCACTTTAGAGCTTTTAAAAGCACTGGGGTTAGTCACAGGTGAAATAAGATAGTTTTAATCCTCAAGCAAATTTGTGGTTTGGGGAGAGATAGGTAAGTACACATAACTCAAGGGAAGAAGCAAACATGGAAATGGCTATAAATAACTAGTCTCAAAGTTCCCAAGTCAGAATATCTGGGTCAGAGGTCTACTTTTTGAATCTCATCTTTGGGTAATAGAAGGTGGGCCTCCCAGATTTAGGTGCTGTGGTTACATTTCATATCTCAGGTTCATCGTAAGTTTAAAATTGACTTTGAGCATTGAATATTGACATTAACTACTGGTTAGAGGATCACTGAAACAGGAAACCCACCCAACTGATGAAGGACCAGGTATGGGAGCTGGTATTGTTCTGTGGCCCCCAAACACTTAATTTCTTGTTTTGCAGGTAAACCCTAACATGATCAACGAATTTGGGGAGAATGACTTAAAATTTGTAGGTCAGGATATTGATGGACAAAGGATGGAAATCATTGAACTGGCAAGTAAGTGGGCTCTTCGTTTTTGAAAAGCTTCCTGGTAACCTGCCTTTTGGTTGACAACAGACTAATTTGAGACCCAGTTTGTTTGCATTCTTTCTTTTCTTCTCTCCTTTGAAATAAATATGTAATTACAAAGTACATGAAAAAAACAGACTGCTGGCCAGGCATGGTGGCTTATGCCTTTAATTTCAACATTTTGGGAGGCCGAGGTAGGCAGATCACCTGAGGTTAGGAGTTCAAGCCCAGGCTGGCCAACATGGTGAAACCCCATCTCTACTAAAAATATAAAAATTAGCCAGGTACGGTGGTGTGCACCTGTAGTCCCAGCTACTCAGGAGGTTGATGGAGGAGAATCGCTTGAATCCAGGAGGCAGAGGTTACAGTGAGCAGAGATCGTGTCACTGCACTTCAGCCTGTGCAACAGTGAGACTTGGTCTCAAAAAAACAGACTGCTTATAATCCTAATCATTTTGGGGCCTATTAGTCTGACTCCACCATAAAATGATGTATTATTCCAAGCCTACCGGTTCTACAAGCAGTATGCTTCCTTACCAACTCCTCCCTTTCTGAGGCCACTCGTTTGTGCCAGCCTCTAGGTTAGGTGATCTGGGAAAGGCAGAGTGGCACTGTTGAATGTTACCCTGCCTGCTCTCCTCCTTTATGGAAGAATAGCCAAGTGCCACCTCATTGTTGGTGATTAATGCTGATACCTGTTACGTGAGGGACCTGATTTATCTCCTGCCTTTCTCCACTGTGCTGGGTGGTCAAGCATGGGTGAGTTGTTTAACTTCTGAACACTACTCACTGTCCCCAGAGTTCTTTTTAAGACCAAATAGAACAGAAATAAAGGCATCGGAAGAACACCAAAATTGTTGTTAGTAAATAGGCTGGAACACCCATGAGCACGTAGGCACAAACTCCACATTTATTACTGATGAGACAGAAGGCAGTGTTCTTCTCAATCATCTTTGCAAGGACATGGTAAGCTCATGGTCACAGCTGGTCTCAGCTCTTTGTCTTGATGTTCTAGCCCAGGGGCTGGCAAACCACTGCCTGTGCACCGTGTTCAGCCTGCTGTTTGCAGCCAGCCTATGAGCTGAAAATGATTCTTTACATTTTTTAATTGTTAAAAAATTATTAAAAAGAATACTGCCTATGACATGTGCAAATTATGTGCCATTCAAATTTGTGTCCATAAATAAAGTTTTAGTGGAACACAGTTTAGGGGTTGACAGGTGTTATCTGTGACCTTCTTCTTACCCATCATAAGGGTCATGACCAACAGCCCTATAACAAGACAGGTTGACAAGAGGAAAGCATAACAAATGTATTTAATCAAAGTTTTATGCGACATGTGAGTTTTCAGGAATGAAGACCCAAAGACCTAGGGAAGACTTCATTTTTATGCTTAGGTTCGCTGAACAGTGAACAGCCATGTAGCAATGTGATGGGGCAAAAGGGCATAGTCTAATGGTAATAGACTGATGGGAAACTCAGAAAGGCCTGTCTGCTCAGATTCTTCTTGGCCTCTCTGGGTAGCATCCCATTCCCCCAGGTCTAGAGCAGGACTCATCTGGAATGAGAGTTTTATGACCTACTTTCCGGAAAGGTAGGTAGGTCAGAGAATTTCTTTGTGGCCGACTTTCACACGGAAAGGCGGGAGAACATCAGAGTGACCTTCTTGCTTCAGAGGTCTTCCTAGTCGCCTTCTGTTCAAAGTACTTTAGGGTAGCGTTTTCTGAGCCCTGACAATAGCAACACTCATTCATTTATGTCTTGTCTATAGCTGCTTTTTGTTTTTATTGTCTTTGAGACAGGGTCTAGCTCTGTTACCCAGGCTGGAGTATAGTGACATGATCATGGCTCACTGCTGTCTTGACCTCTTGGGCACAAACAATCCTCCCATGTCAGCCTCCCAAGTAGCTGGGGCTGCAGGTGTATATCACCCTGCCTGGCTAATTTTTTTTTTTTTTTTTGAGATGAAGTCTCACTCTGTTGCCCAAGTTGGAGTTCAGTGGCACAATCTCAGCTCACTGCAACCTCCACCTTCTGGATTCAAGCAAATTTCCTGCCTCAGTCTCCCAACTAATTTTTGTGCTTTTTTAGTGGAGATGGGTGTTTCACTGTGTTGGCCAGGCTGGTCTTGAACCCCTGACCTCGTGATCCTCCCACCTCAGCCTCCCAAATTGCTGGGGTTACAGGAGTGAGCCATCACGCCTGGCCAATTTTTAAATTTTTTGTAGAGGCAGGGTTTTGCCATGTTGCTCAAGCTGGTCTCACCTGGGCTTAAGGCATCTTCCCTTCTTGGCCTCCCAAAATGCTGAGATTACAGGCATAATGTAATCTCATGAACAGCTGCATCTGGCATATGGCTGTTTTTTATGCTACCATGGCAGAGATGAATAGTTAAGAAAGAGACCTTATGGCTCACAAAGCCCGAAATATTTACCCTTTACAGAAACATTTGCTAACTCCTGGGCTAGACCCACACGCATACACTTCATTTAACTAACTTGAATTTAACATTTTCACATGCCTCCTTGACCTATTTGTCTATTTGGATGTTCTCTTGACACTTCCATCTCAACTTATTTAAAACTAAATTTACATGCTCTCCCGATTAGTTCATTCTCCTGACTGTTTCTGTTAAGATGTGATCAGTCTCACTGTCCAGGATTTCTCAGCCTTGCCACTGTTGGTGACATTTGGAGTGGGATAATACTTTGTTGTGGAGGCTGTCCTGTGCACTGTAGAGCAAACTTGTTCAACCCACTGCCTGCGGGCTGCATGCAGCCCAACACAAATTCATAAACTTTCTTAAAACATTATGAGATTCTTTTGCAGTTTTTTTTTTTTTTTTAGCTCATCAGGTATCATTAGTGTTAGTGTATTTTATGTGTGGCCCAGGACAATTCTTCCTCCAATGTGGCCAACGTTGTGACAACCCAGAATATCTCCAGACATCATCAGATGCCCCTGGCGGGCCAGGCACAGTGGCTAACACCTGTAATCCCAATGCTTTGGGAGGCCAAGGTGGGAAGATCACTTGAGACCAGGAGTTCCAGACCAGCCTGGGCAACGTGGTGAGACCCTGTCTCTACAAAAAAATTAAAAAACTAGCTGGGCATGGTGGCTCGTGCCTGTGGTCCCAGCTACTCGTGAGGCTGAGGTAGGAGGATCTCTTGAGCCATGATCATGCCACTGCACTCCAGCCTGGGTGACAGAGCAAGACCCTATCTCAAAAAAAAAAAAAAAAGAGAGAGAGAGAGAGAGAATGAGAGAAAGAAAGAAAGTCCCTGAGGGGCACATTTGCCCCTCCTGGAGAATCATTCTCCTAGACTATCAGGCTAGAAATTTCACATATTAGCTCGTCTTCCCCTTCAGATCCCAACTTGTAGTGAATTGTCAAGTCCTGCAGATTCTGCCTCTGGAAGGAAAGCTGGTGTTTGGAATTGCATTGCTCCCCCTAAAACACTAGTCCCAGTGCATGCCACTCCAGCTCACACTTGTCCTCAATCTCCTTCCTGCTTCCAAGCCTCCCTTTCTCCTATACCGCCTAACGAGGACAGAACTCTGCAGTGTGTAGTGACACTAATTTGTTGGATAAACCACTCTCGTAAATTGAGTACAAATGTGTGCAGGATACTGTAAAAATGGTAGCATGATGTTCCAGAACCTACGCTTCCAGCCTATATGCTTTAGGCTCCAGATAAACTGGATTACCTACCGCATCTTCTAACCTCCCTCTTCTTTCTCCATTTTAGCTCATGCCACTATTCATCACTTCTTTTCTCTGTCTCTTTCCCTTTTTGTCTCTGATCTGTTCAAGTACTTCTAGAGTCCCGAGCAGAGGGGAGAATTGAAGTCTGAGAAGGCTCCTTTGAACAGAGTAGCATTTTACCTAGACTGGAAATAAGGAAATCAATGGACATTTAGTGTGAACTTACTAGATGCTTGTCAGTAGACCCCTTGCTAGGGACTTTGCATACCTTATGTGACTAACAAAGCAGGTGATGCTATTCCCACTTTACAGAGGAGACCGGAGTGCAAAGAGGTTAAATGACAGGCCCAGGGCCATCCAGCTAGCCTTCTGGGGCAAGAGCAAACCCAGGTGGTTACCTCCTTCTGCCACCACTGCTGTGGGATTTTATTGTTCTTCTTGTTTTCACATTCTACCTAAGGTGATGAATTCATGCCTAGAGTTTTGAATTAGAATAGGAAGTATGCATTTCCAGGAGTTTTTCTGATGGAAATGTCCATCATTTAGAATTAAAGTAGGGATCTTGCCATTGGTATTGAAGCCTCTTAAATCTTCCTAGCATGTGAGAAGGCGGAAAATTTCTTAAGCAAATTACTATTTGTTTACTTTGTTTAAGTACTTATTCACTTTTAATTCTCCTGGTTCTCATTATTATCATCAAATACTTAGAAGCTTCTTTCATCATAAGGATTTAGACTCCCATTGAGGCTTTCAAATTTCATGTGGATTGAAAAGGAAATGAGAGCTGCTGTAAAACCTTGCAGTTCGTAAAAGCTGACGGCAAGCAGTTATTAAGGAAAATTCCCCAGAAGATTTTGATCATAGGTGCCCCTTGGAAACATATCCCTGAATCTCCACTGTTCCTGAAGGGTTCTGAGAGGAACAACAACGCTCGAGATTAATATTATATAACGTCAGAATTTGGTTTAAAGCAATCAAAAGCATTATCTTAAAGACAATTTTATCTGGCTGATAGAACATCATCAAAATAAAAACTTTTTAGTTTTCCCTCATATTGGTGTAGAGGATTTTTTGGATAAAGTGATTAGAGCAATGATCCATTCATTCACATATTCTGTCCCTGGGTATTACATGATTATATTGCTTAGTCTGTACTGACACGAAAGCACAATTACTGCCTGCTTTTCTTTTTCAAAGATGTCCCTAGATGTTCTGCAGTAAGATTTATTGTCTCTTAAATTTAAAGCTACATTGCTTAATTTCTTCTCTAAGTGTGGATGATTTCTCTGCGTTTCTTGAGGGAATACATTCCTAGGAGAAGGTGGCATTCCCCTTATCAGGCTTTCTTGACTGTATGCTCCTCTAATTCAAGGAGGTTTCTTCTTAGATGTAGAGGATTTCTACGCTGGATTTTTCTGTGATCAGAGCTGTCCTATAGAACTCACTGCAATGTAAAAACCTGTCATTCGTTAAAAAAGAAAAAATTAAAAAAACTCACTACAATGATAGAACTAGTCGGCCCTATCCAATATGGTAGCCTCTAGCCATGTGACTTTGAACATGTTTCAAATGCTCAATTAATTTTAATGAATTTAAGTAGCTACATGTGGCTAGTGGTTACCATTTTCCATAATAGAGCTTTTTTAAAAAATATAATTTCAACTTTCATTTTGGATGAAGGAGTATATGTGCAGACTTTTTTTTTTTTTTTGAGACAGGGTCTCACTCAGTCACCCAGGCTGGAGTGCAGTGGCATGATCATGGCTCATGGCAACCTCCACCTCCTGGGCTGAAGTGATTCTCCCACCTCAGCCTCCCAAGTAACTGGGACAACAGGTGCACACCACCACGCCCAGCTAATTTTTGTATTTTTTGTACAGACAGGGTTTCACCATGTTAGCCCAGCTGGTCTTGAGCTCCCAGGATCAAGCAATCTGCCCACCTTGGCCTCCCAGAGAGCTGAGATTATAGGTGTGAGTTACTGTGCCTGGCCCACGTGCAGATTTGTTACGTGGGTATATTGTGTGATACTAAGGTTTGGGATATGGATCCCATCATCCAAGTACTGACCAGTGTACCCAACAGGTAGTTTTTCAACTCTTGCACTCCCCTCTCCTTCCCCACTCTGGTAGTTCCCAGTGTCTATTGTTCCTATCTTTATGAGTACCTGATGCTTAGCTCCCATTTGTAAGTGAGAACATGCAGTATTTGGTTTTCTGTTCCCATGTTAATTCACTTAGAATAATGGCCCCCAGCTGCATTCATGGTGCTCCAAAGGACATGGTTTCATTTTTATGGCTACATACTATTCCATGGTATATATGTACCACATTTTCTTTATCCAATCCACCATTGATGCGCATCTAGTTGATTCCATGATTTTGCTATTGTGAATACTGCTGCCATGAACATATAAGTGCATGTGTCTTTTTTGTAGAGTGATTTATTTTCCTTTGGGCATATACCCAGTAATGGGATTGCTGAGTTGAATGGTAATTCTGGTTTAAGTTCTTTGAGAAATCTCCAAGCTGCTTTCCACAGTGGCTGAAATAACTTACTGTTGAAATTCCCACCAACAGTAGGTTTTCTTTTCTCCACAGCCTTGCCAGCATCTGTTGTTTTTTGACTTTTTAGTAATAGCCATTCTAGCAGGGCTTTAAATGATTACCAGAAAGTAGACATTTGCATTCAATCATCATTTCCCTATTACTGTAGTGGTAGCTTTGGATCTTTGGTGGTAAGTGATAGGAATTTGTGATTTTGAATTCCATACTAGATTTTAGACAATTTGATAAAGTACCTCATTGAAAGCTTCGAAGTTATATTTACTTCCCCCTCTAAAACTTATTGTATTTTATTATCTTTAGTTTGAGTTATAGCCAGGGACAGGATATCTGAATGAATGGATCATTGCTCTGAATCACTTTGTCCAAAAAAATGCTCAGTTTTATGGTGCTATGATTAATACCCAACTTAAAGCTGTGACTAGAAAAGCAGTTGTCCCGGTTGTATTCCCAAGGATAGCTCAATGGGTTGACATTGTGCTGGTTTATCCCAGGGTAAAGGAGAAGACCTTGCAAGAAATGGCCTGAAGCCACGTAAAAGAAAGAAAGACCCAGGGTTGGCCTAAAGTCCAAGGGAAATCGAACCAACATAAATCTACAAAGTGCCTTCAAAAAGCAGGCAGATTTTGGGAAAGCAGAGTTCTTCTTGCCATTCAAAAATTTTTGCTTGATTTTGCTCACTCTGACACCTTCCACATGTTAAATTTCCAAGACATGTTTTACAATTTGAAATTCCACACAGGAATGGATGGATAGTATAAGTAACTGACTATAATGATAACAGGTGAAAGAATCATCTTACCGTTTAATGAGCTTTTATGTTCAAAGATAAGAAGACCTTTAAAGCAGTTCTCATGTTTGTCTGCTTTAATCACATCGTGATTGTTCTCATTTCAGATCATCCCTATTTTGTTGGTGTCCAGTTCCATCCTGAGTTTACTTCTAGGCCGATGAAGCCTTCCCCTCCATACCTGGGGCTCTTACTTGCGGCAACTGGGAACCTGAATGCCTACTTGCAGCAGGGTTGCAGACTGTCTCCCAGGTAACCAGCTTACTGATCTGAGCAATAAAACAAGATGCATAGTATTGGCATCTTAGGGTTTCTTACAAAAATCAATGCCATTATAGAATTTTTTTATGTGAAGAGTCAGTTTTTTTCTCTTAACCATAATTTTCTCCTCTTCATGAAAATAATTTGATAACACCTACAGTAGTAATGTGTCAGCCTTCCAAGTCATGACACTGGATATTATTTTAGAAATGTTTTTCATTTGATAAGTGAAAAGATCTTCTTTTGTTGATTCTTTGATTAATGTATATGAATATTTTATATGTCTATTGGCTCCTTGTTTTATGAATAGCTTGTTCCTATCTTTTCTTTATTTTGGTATTGTATTATTTTCCTTACTGATTGGTAAGCTCTTTATGTATAAAGGTCATTAATCCTTTGTTAGGCTGCAAATATTTTTCAAGGTGGTTTTGCCTTCCTTCCAAGTTGTTAATGGTAGTTTTTATTCTCCCTAAAGAGTTTAGTCCTTTTTTATGTTTTAAAAAAATGTATGTAGTCAAATATTTTACTTTTGTGGATTCTGCCTTTATTCTCATGCCTAACATCTTTCCTTATGCAATGATTATGTAAATAATAACCCCTGTGTTTTCCTCTAGCACTTTTATGGTTTCAATTTTATAGTTTATAATCTATATGGATTTTATTTTCAGTGGAATCTGTGAGGCTAGGATTTGGCCAATGAGTTGAGTAATTTGAGTTTGTTTCAGGGATTTCTGTTTTAATCTGTTGATGGCTTTATCTCTTACACCTGAACTTTTACCATCCTTTTCATTTTCATAGCGTTATTATAAATCAAGACCTTATCGATCCTACTTCCACCATTATTAAAATTTTTAATGTATTTTGCTATTCGTTCAGGCAAACTGTTATTTATTTATTATTTTCTTAGAGACAGGGTCTGGCTCTGTTACCCAGGCTGGAGTGCATTGGCACAATCATAGTTCACTGCAGCCTTGAACTCCTAGGCTCAAGCAATCCTCCTGCCTCAGTATCCCAGATAGCTAGGATTACAGGCACACACCACCATGCCTGGCTAATTTTTAAAATTTATTATTTTTGTAGAGACAAGGTCTCAGTATATTGTCCAGGCTGGTCTTGAATTCTTGACCTCAAGCAATCCTCCTTCCTTGGCTTCCGAAGTGCTGGGATTATAGGTATGAGCCACTGTGCCCAGCCTGTACAATGATTTTTAAAAATCAAGTTTGAATAAAAAATCCTTAGGGATTTTTTTAAAAGTGGAAATTTATTACATTTATTTATTTATTTAGAGACAGGGTCTTGCTCTATTGCCCAGACTGGAGTGCAGTAGAGCAATCTTGGCTCACTGAAACCTCCACCTCCTGTGTTCAAGAGATTCTCCTGCCTCAGCCTCCCAAGTAGCTGGGCCTACAGGTGTGTACCACCATGCCCAGCTAATTTTTGTGTTTTTAGTAGAGACAGGGTTTCACCATGTTGGCCAAGTTAGTCTTGAACTCCTGACCTCAAGTGATCTGCCTCTTTTGGCCTCCCAGTTGTGATTACAGGCGTGAGCCACCGTGCCTCTCTGAAATTTCATTACATTTAAATACTAGTTTGGGGAGAGTTTATTTTTATTTCTTTTCATCCAAGAATATCGTACCTAATAACTTTAAAAGCCAAAGTAACCAGTCAGCATATCATAGATTTGGTAGGGGTTATTGCCATAATAACCAGATATATGTTGTTTAGAAGACTACCACTGCCAACCCTCATTCTGGCAAACAACCCTTGCAGTGTGGCCATTGAGGGCTGCCAGGATTTGTGTATGGTGTGTATGTGTGTGCTTGTTACACAAGCCTACTTATTTGTGTCATTACCTGCTAGGAGAAGCTCACAGCTCTCTAGCACTTCCTTTCACTGTGTGTTCATATGGGAACAGCTTCACATATTTTGCACTTTGGGCATCTTACTGAATTAATGTTCACCCCTTTCAGTCGTGTACCAGTGCACTGACTTTCAAACTGTGCCGTCGGAGCTGGAGTCTGGGCTGCTGTGAGGAGCAGGCCGTGGAGACTCTGGGCTCTTTCCGTCTTCAGCTGAGCAGCTCCACTTTATCTGGCTCATGTGCCGTGGTTCTGCAAGAGATTCATCTGAAGAAGAGCTTCCTGTGTTCTGAGACTGCTTCCTGTGTTCTGTGGCTTATACCACAAATTGGACATCCTCATGTGGTTCCATGTCAGATGTGCGCTGTGACCCTTTGTGGCCATTTTACAATTCCCATTATTTTAGATTCTCACACTGAAAGGAAGGTGATAGTGGGACAAGATAGATGGCTGGGAGAAATAATTCACTTGTAACTATCTAGCTGTTTGCAAATATCAACTAATATACAAATCCAGTCTGGCTCGTGTGGACTGCCCACCTTTGTGTTTTATGGGCTGCCAATTCCCACATGGGGGTGGTGGTGCCTGGGTAAAGCTTCTGGCAGGGCGCGGTGGCTCATGCCTGTAATCCCAGCACTTGGGAGGCCAAGGTGGGCGGGATCACCTGAGGTCAGGAGTTCGAGACCAGCCTGGCCAACATGGTGAAACCCTGTCTCTACTGAACATACAAAAATTAGCCAGACCTGGTGGCACATGCCTGTAGTCCCAGCTACTAGGGAGGCTGAGGCAGGAGGATGACTTGAACCTGGGAGGCAGAGGTTGCAGTGAGCTGAGATTGCACCACTGCACTCCATGAACTCCAGCTTGGGCGACAGAGCGAGACCTGTCTCAAAAAAAAAAAAAGTTCCCGGTAGTTTATGAAAAAACCGACTGATTGCTAGTGACTTCTGAGCAAGATATAATATATCTCAGAGAGAAGGAAAGACCTTTTAACCGTATTCTGATGCTGGCATTGGAATTATAGCTGACTAGTAGGCTTCCATGGCACTGAGGGAATTCCTGTGTGTATCAACCACAAATGGAAGCATTCCTTAAGGCTAGCCAGCGTCTTATTTATCTTTGTCTCCCTGGCTCCCTTGCCCACAGGGTTGTTATTACCCATTAAAGTAATAAATGCAGGTCGGAGGGAAATCTACTCTTGACACATTTCAGTGAGTTTTCCAACTAAGGATGGTGACTATGAATTAATCCAGTGACAGATACCAGGATTCCAGAGGAACCTTGCACTTCAGCTCCTCTCTGCCCAGCTCCATGGGATTAGTGAACTTTGAAAAGCAAATGACTGCTCTGATGCCATGCTCTAACGTGAGCTGAGTTGGGACTGTGTTTCTGTCAAACAAGATCACTGCTTGTAATCAGCCCTAAACAAATGTGACAAGGAATACAAACACTAGAATAATGACTTCCTTTCCCAGAAGTTGGCTCTGATGATATTCAACTGTATGGCACGTGTACACCCAGTGTCTTTAAAGCATGAAGTGTAAAAATCCTTGGCTTTGAGTCAAGTGTACCTGAGCTGTAACCTCTGCATTCTGCCTAGTGGAGAACATTTATCTTTTAAGGCCTGGGAAGTTGCAATAAGAATATTATTTTGGAATTTATAGCTAGTGAGCTAAATTCTCAGCTACTTCATAATCTGCAAAATGGCAGCAGTTAGGAAGATCAATTCCACCTACTTTTAGACTTGTAATGGTCAGTTCAAGGGCATCATAGCTTCAGGACAGTATTGTTTAGGTTTTCATGAGCTATTCAAAAATACATGCAAAATCAAACTAAGAATCTTGTTTAGGGGGTCCCCTTAAGACCGCCCATACTTTGGTGATTTGCTGGAAGTAATCAGAATATAGCTGTACTTATAGCTAATATTTATTTATTTATTTATTTATTTAGAGATGGAGTTTTGCTCTTGTTGCCCAGGCTGGAGTGCAATGGCATAGTCTCGGCTCACTGCAACCTCCACCTCCTGGGTTCAAGTGATTCTTTTGTCTCAGCTTCCTGAGTAGCTGGGATTACAGGCATGTGCCACCACGCCCAGCTAATTTTTGTATTTTTGGTAGAGATGGGGTTTCACCATGTTGGCCAGGCTGGTCTTGAACTCCTTACCACTGGTGGTTCATGTGCGTCGGCCTTCCAAAGTGCTGAGATTATAGGCATGAGCCACCGTGCCTGGCCTTATAGCTAATATTTATTATGGTGGCAAAGTAAACATGCACAGCAAGATCAATAATGGGAAAGATAAGTGGAATTTGGAGAAATTCATTTGCGCATTTCCTATGCTCTCTCTTTCCTGTGATAAGTCATATAGAGGTCACCTTCCTTCCAGCAGTGAAAATGTAACTATGCATATGTGATGTTTCTGCCCAAAGGAGCCAGTTTGGGATTCAGAGTTTAGGGATATTTCTGGGGCTGGTCACATAGGCATTTTCTGCATAGCAACCACCAAAATTCCAGACTGCCAAAGGGAAAGCAGGTGTTCACCATAGATCACATTGTTTGTATGAACGGTGTAAGCCCAGCAAAAGGACTTTATTGTGTAGTAATGGTGCACACATTCCGGAAGCCATGTTCCCAGGCGCCAGCCAAGAACTAACCCTGAAAGCAGGGTCTTCTAAAGATAGCAGCCTCAGGCCTGCTGTTAACTCTTCTTTACACGAGCCTAACAAGCCATTTTGAGAATAAATAAATCCAGTGGAAAGTAGTGGTCCATTAAATACATCATTGCAATTCTTTGCTGATCTTTCTCCTGTGATGTCTAAACATAATTTGTCTTATGTATAAAAGGCAACCACAAATTTGCATGGCCTTGCTGACACATAATGTAAAAGAATGAGACTGCTTCATGTAATTATAAGAAATAAATGTCATGAGAATATATGAAGGTGCTTGTAATTGCAAGTTTTTTGTTTGTTTGTTTAAATCTCGAAACAGAGCATCTAATCTCTTTCTGGAATTTTTTTTTTTTTTAGAGGCAGGGTCTCCCTATGTTGCCCAGGCTGGTCTCAAACTCTGGGCTCAAGCCATCTGCCTGCCTTGGCTTCCCAAAGTGCTGAGATTACAGGCATGAGCCACTGT